ATATTACTAGCTATTTGTTTATGAACAAAAACTGTATCACCTGCGAACCGTCGATCGCTATGCAAAAGCTCAGATTGTATTACCTTTGAATAGTTCTTCAATGGGTCCTGAATTTTCCTCGGAATACCACCAAACAAGTTTGGAAATGCTTTTTCTTCCGCATGATCATCAATTAGTACTGATAACGGTTTCATTCCTTCACCTGGAGCTAAGGAAACATAATCACCATTATCAATCATTGTGTCTGTGTTACTTCCTGGATTAATTGGCTCATTGTCACTATTATCTGATTCTTAACTGTCTAGCGACTCTAAATCATTATTCAGTACGTCCCAACTATCAGTAACATACCTGAGCCAATCTCTATCAACAGATGCGTTTTCATACAATGGTTTTCCAATAAGATCATGCAGTGCTGAAACTGCCAAACTTGGACGAACATTTTGATACTAATAATGTTGTTTAAAATAACTTTCTTTTTAAATTTACCTTCATAATTTTTATTGCTGCTAAATTCTCGGCTCTCCTAGGCAAAATACAAGTTGTTCTTGTCAAATCAATTGGCAAATTTACTACATTACCTTGAATTTTCAAATGACCCTCACTACGAAGACATTTAAAAATTTTCATAAAGGGTAACCTTAAAGAAATCATTTGTTTCTCTATTTGATTGAGTTTCAACGGCGGTACAGTGTTCAACTCAAATCCATTACCAACATATAATGGAGGAATTTTTGATTTTCTTAAATGATTTTAACAACTTGTACACACAGGAATACTAGTATCATCACCGGACGTACAACACTTCATCCTTAAAATAGCGAATACTGCTTTTTGGCATCTAACCATACTACTTGGTAATCGAAGGCGATTACATGAAGAACACGTTTCGGATAGACCTTGTGTTTTTCGCAAGTTGTATTCAGCCAACAACGTCTCCCATTTATGTCTTGAAGTATTTAATCATTGACGTTCACGTAATCTGTAAGTTGATACTGTACGTGACTTTCCGTGACTTGACACTACTGTCTTATGGAGCTCTTCTTTTATTCATATAACGACGGTTTTCGTTTTTATAGGAACTTCTGTATACTTCATTTTGTAACCTTTTTTTCTTACTCTTTTGAGACCTTGCTAGATTCAATTCCTTTTTGACAGGATCTTGTAGTCTTTTACGAGTGTCTTCTAAATTCCTCTTCTCCACGTCAGGATTTTCTAACCGTTTTTTCATATTTTTCAACACTCTTGTATTGTGATGTAATTTTTTTGCAGGATTTAAATGTACAACTCCTTTTATTTGCTTATTTTTTTCTCTTTCATCAGCGCAATATTCTTTATTTCCTCTTAAATCCTGTATATGTTGAAGGCTTTTAAGGTCTCTCTTACTTTTCCTTCCCATGTTAACTTAATGAAATTTAAAATAAAATTTACCTAAAATAAAAAATTAACTATGACACATGAAATAAAACTCTAAATGTCAAACAACTTAAAAACACCAACAAACAATATGATTATTCATATGATGTAACTGTATACCATAATTTTAATGATATGCTACACAACAACCTTAATAATTGTGAAGAAATATTTTATTTTTTCCACTAATTTCTGTTTAATTGTTATATAAAAAAAAGACAACAGGAAAAACAAAACATTTACCAAATAACCACAAATAGAAAGCTATTAGAAAATATTTTATTACTAACCAACTTTGAGGCGCCAACAATTACACTTTATAACACAGACACATGACTAATACCTAAAATGTTAACACTCAATATGTGTGTAAAGTTTGACTACAAGTATAGGACCCTGCAGTGAAACCAGACCCTCTATATAATAAATTATAAACTAACAGATTTAATTTAGTAAAGCAGAATTTTGTTAAAAGGAAATACACGTTACAACAATAAAAACACGAGTGGTTAAAAAAAAACATTTAGTACACTTTGGAAAAAAAAGGTTTATCCATTATCAATATATACAACAATTTCCATGTATATATAAAACACATATAATAGATTAATAAAAAACCTGAAATTATTATTGTAATTTTCTTGACTTAAATACACATTTTTATAGTAATGTACATAATTTTTTTTAAACATCAACATAAACTGTCAATATATATATATATATATATGACAAAATATAAAATACACTATTGAGTTATAAATCTTTGTAATCTAAACAAAAAAACAATTATTAAATCACACAAATTTGTTTGACATATTACAAAATAGTATATGAAAAATTAAGTTTTATATTGAATAATAATAAACACTATGTAACTGTAATGTAAGGCATTCAGATAACAATTAACAACGGTGTGCAATAACCTGTATATTTCACCTAACCTTACCTACACTGTGTAAGTATAAACATACATTTTTGAGTTTTAATACGTTACTTCCCTAACCTATACCTAGCTGACAAGACATAAATCATGACAGATGTTTTTAACGCCCACTTAGTTCTGTCATAAGGTAGCATACGGATAAATATAAATGTAATCGAATCAACAATACTAAAGCTACTAAGTACTAAATAGCAAGTCACTTACTAAGCTGAACCTCGGCAAACACTCCCAGCACTTGAGATGGTGTGCAGGTGATTTCATAACAAGGCGGCAATTTAACACCGACAATTGTTAAAAGAAATTTTTTTTTATAATTAAATATTTTTTACTATGTATAAATAAAAAAAATTATACTCGAGACGGTATCAGATTAACACTCCGGATCAATGTTAAATCAATAACTGATTATCGAATTACCGAATACCGACTACCTACAAATGTCATCACCCCCCGACCTCTCTCTCAAACACCATGATCGGCTAGTGCCGATAAGGGGTTTTTCGTTCCCACCTATACCGTGTACAATAGACGGTGGACAGTTGATAACGCGACCGGGCGTTTATCGCTAAAAAAGTTTTCAAATAAGAAAACACCAATTACCATTAAACAATATTATTTTAGTTTTAACTATTGCAAAAAAAAAACAAATAATTTTGTATTAAGCCTTTAACAATTATCACATTATAAATGTCATAATAACTGCAAACCCTAATTTACAGTATGGTCACGATCAAATATTATTTGGTCAGGCAAATTGATAATTCTAACAACAATAGTATAAACAGATCGTTTTATCATTTCTCACGAAATGGCTGCCAATTTAGAGTTACTGAAATTACGTTCAGTCAATCCGCAAGAAGTAGAGTTTTGTTCAAAACGACTTTATATCAACTGTGACTTAACAAAATCCATATTCAGTTAATTATATAATAAATTTAATTTATTATTTATTAATTTGTATTATGTTGACAAATTGTTTTCCTATATATAATAAAATTTGATAAAGTAAACATCAAACTACGTTTTAAAAGCTTTTCTCCGGAGTACAAGTTACAACCAGAATAAAAACTAGCGTTTTTGTAGACGAGATTTAGAAATAAAATTTGGAAAAAAAAACATTTTTTATCACCTGAATTCATATTTTCATTACGGAATTACGGAGCAGATAAGACCGCGCAACAACATGGCGTTCGTACACACGATAATGCCAACAGAACATAAGTTAACTCTATAATTTTCGTTTTTCACATCTGGTACACCGCGTTTGTACTGATAAAATTTGTGATTTATAGAGTTGCTATTCGAAGGAATTGCTCTAGTATTAAAAAAGTTACAGTGTATACAGCGAAAAAAAAAGCCCACAGAGTAAAACCAATACCTTCTCGCTTTGCATCGAAGCTAAAATGCATACACCAATAGTCGCGTATGAGCGCGCCGCTCACTTTATCGAAACTGATAAGTTTAATCTATTGTCATTTCAACACAAGACTATGGAATGGGTTATTTTATTTATAGAACAATATCCAGATATGATAAGATAAGGTATACGTAGGTATCAAAAATGTAAAAATGAAACTGAAACCAGTGGTAGCTAAAATAGTAAATGAATGAGCGCCACGCTCATACGCGCCTACTCTGACGGGTTAAACAAAAAAAATGTTGTAATGATGTGTGTAATAATTGTATTGTGTCATCTATCTACATGAATACAATGTATAGTGTGAAACACAACAATTGTTATTAGCTGGTTGTATTCCGAATCATGGCATCACCACCATTGATCGGCTACACGCTAAAAATGAAAATTCATTCATAGTACAAAACCACTTGGATTAAAATTAATCACTAATTTATTTTCCTTGTCAGAGAGCATTTGTTAAAATAAAGTGACAATTAAGGATTATACTGATTATATTTTATCGAGTTATTTTAATAATTGACCAAAATTGCTCTGATGTCATACCGGTTGTACTTAATATAATAAGTCAATTTTACTTAATAAATGGTTGGAACAATTCTAATTATTGGAATTGTTGGAATTTTATCAAATATTAAATATAGTAGATATTTTAAAAAACTCACATTTAAAATATACAGTATTAATATCCAAATGAAAATCTTTTCTCACTAAATTTTGGTTATATTACTGACTATAGTCATTAGCTTATTACTTATTAAGTTATCAAAGCATATTTTTTCAATTTATGTAGTAGATATTTTTTCTTTTCAAAACCATTTGGCATAATTCTAGTTAAGCTATCTTTCGATATTTTAAAATTTTTTTTTCTCAAAATGTGTGTTTTTTCATGCTTAATTCAAATCTGTAATCAGAAATTGCCGGACTCGTGTAGTTCAAATGTTACAGCTATTTGAAGTTAAAGTATATCGTTGCGCATGGCGCCGTGCGGTGCAACGAGCAGCAGACCTGTCGATGCGCGGCGACGCGAATCGCAGTTCGTGTTTTTTTCTTAATTTTTTAACTTATTCAACATTTTAATTTGACTTTACTTTAAACCTGTTAACTCCTCCTAGACTGTAGCCTGCAAACCTAGGATGTTTTCAGTAAAAAAAATAATACAGCTAAGTAGATAGTGAGGTATAATTTTAATTAAAAAAGTAATACAGATAAATAGGTACAATTTTAACTAAAAAACTCCTCCTCGGTCTCTGACCCCGATTCAGAATTATTTTCTGTTATCTCGTATTTTAATGTTGGTCCATTTGGATCATACAGTGCTGCCGCAAGTTTGAAAAATTTAATCAAGGGGTTCAGGCCCGATAAACGACAAACCTTTAAGAACATATATTTGGCCAAATAACCCGCATAAAAATATTTTTTTTTTTTAGAATATTGGGTCATGGAAGCTTTGGCATGACGCCACATTCCTTCAACGTTATTCGTTATTCGGGTTTTTAAATTCAATTGAGTGTTACCGTCAAATGAGTATATCCTTCATCTTTTAAACAATCATAGCTCTAAAATTATTAAAGCAATTGAAATTTAAAACAGTTGAGTTAGACCAATTAAGTCATGAACTTACTTTCCAACAATCACTAATAATTAATGATCCCGGCAAAATCCAATCCTTTATGACCGTCAATGTATCTTTGTCACGTTTCTCGACAGGTACAAGAAAACAACGACCCGTTTGTCGTTCGACTCCGCCAAAGACCCAATGGCCTTCAACACGATGTCTCCTGTGGTATTTTAGCCTCCCAAATTTTGATTCGTCTATTTCAACAATAGTCCCTATACCACCTACATGCAAAGTATTTTTAATAGTAATGTACTTCTAAACTACTTATAATTGTCTCAAAATGTATTTTGACTGGGCAGTAAATACGCGTTTTTTGGCATTAAGTGTTTGGAACAAGTCTACTTTACCGGACACCCTTTTTGACATTTTCATGTCTTAGCTCTGGCACATAACCGAAAAACAGTTTTTCAGCCGAGTCTGCAACCACGAAAGAGCATTTTCATGTCTCGTTGAAGTACCGAATAAATATAGATTAGTTGTGGAATTATAATTTAAAAAAAAAGTTTTTCAGCCGAGTCTGCAACCACGAAAGAGCATTTTCATGTCTCGTTGAAGTACCGAATAAATATAGATTAGTTGTGGAATTATAATTAAAAAAAAAAGTTTTTCAGCCGAGTCTGCAACCACGAAAGATCATTTTCATGTCTCGTTGAAGTACCGAATAAATTTAGAGTAGTGGTGGAATTATAGATAATGATATAGTATATTAACGAGCGGTAACAAGCTAGTATAATAAAATAAAACGTCAAGTTTCAGGCTAAAATTGTAGTGTTTATTATCTGGCTTAAAACAATTCATAGAGAAATTAGGCTATTAAACTGTTTTGAATTTATTATTTAGTTCTAATTTGAACGTTAAACGTACATCATATCTCTAATCTCCTATATCTTACCCCTATCCCCTACCCCTATAGCCCTCCCCTATCCCCTACCTCCTATCTCTCACCCCTGTAACGGGTTTGTAACGATTTTGTAACGAACGCTTTTTTCGGTTATGTGCCAGAGCTAATTCCACCCCATTCCCATTCCCATCCCCAACTTCATCTTCATCCCCATTTATTTTTTCGTTACGTCTTTTTGACATTTTCATGTCAAACGTGACGCATGTTGACGTGCGTAATGATAGTTTCGATGTCTTCCACAAGGTGGCTTCATTTTCGTATCTTTCCACGTTGTAATTTTAGATGATGTACTTTCAGATCCAGATAAAAAAACTTGAACTGCATACTTTTTGGTTTCACTTACTAACAACTCGAGTAGTCTGTCATCAAATAATAGATTAAGATAATCAATGGGTTCATTTCCTTGCGGATAAACCTTCAATCCTTTGGATTTTGTAAAAAGAATATGTGTCACTGTAAGTGGCCTATTATTACTCTATTTATAACTTGATGTAGACAAAATAGGTACATCTGAAATATTATCCTCTTCTTGTCGTACCGTAGTATTAGTTTCCATCATCGGAAGTGTCCATTCTGGATCAGCATCGTCATCACCAGAATCCCCTTCTCCTAAATCAGTACCCGAACTTAATCCAAAGTCATCATCCGAGTTCTCTAAATACACCTCTGATCTGTAATCTTAACTGTGTTTTTTTTTAATGTAACTTCCATAAATTTTAAAAAAAATGTATAAAAACAATAATAAAAAAAAAAGTACGTGCCAGAAGTATTATTATAATATTAATATCTATTATTATAATATTATAAATAGTATGTGGAAACATATTTACGACCAGTTTCGATTTTTAAAATCATCATCAAGTATAAGAAACGCCCAAATAATACTTTGTTATTATATATGCAATATATACAAGTTAACAACTATAATATGTAATTTTTATTTATTATAATTTATGATGGTCATTTTATAATATTTTTTACATTATTATAATATAACTATCCGAATGTGATAACCATATGCATTTATGTAAAATAATAATATAACTTACCTTTTATTTCTTCTAATTTTATATAAAAATAAAAACTGTACAAAAAAAAAACCTGATAACTTAACACCAACTATGCAATATGATAGTCAATGCGATAATGAATGGCCGACACAAATTTCACCATAGTCGCCTTAATAAAAGCAAATTCAATACAAGTTACTGCATGTCAACTACGAGTTGACACCGGCCATGCGCGCCCATTTTCTGATGTCAATTACGTGTTGACATCGGCGTTGAACGTGTTAATGATACTATATATTAAAAATAATCGCAGCGGTAAGAATAATTATTTTAACAAAAATTGCCCTACAGTTATAATAAGCAATTATACATTTAAATTCATATTAAAGCTGGTATCTTCATTAATCGTAAAACCAAAGAGATAAGACAAATAGCTTCTTAGTATAAAAATATTTTTCAGCTTTGGTTTAACTTTTGTAAGATTATTGTTTAACTTAACACCATACTAGACCTCACATCTAACTACATTTTAATAACGTTCTTTGAGATTTTTTTGCAGATCTAAGAAAAAATTAGCAAAATTTACAATAATGTGTTTAAAAAAAAAAAAACAGTTTTTGTAACTACTTTGGTAAAATTACTACTAACTAGTTAGATAAGATTGGTTTATTAAAAATTGTAATATTTGTGACCAATATTATATCTACATATGTAACCTTTGTGCATAGGTTAAGTATAATAAACTTTTATTAACAGGAAGTATACAAATTATATTAGTTATGTTTACTTTAACATTGTTACATATTTTACACACCACATTTTTTTTATACACCACTTGGAATGTAAAAAGCTGGTAGCAATCGTTATCTGCGGTTTTGGGCCTGTCTTAAATGTACCATCAGATCCAGCTATTGTTACCTAGAAAATAGAGAAATATAAAATTAAAAAAAAGTTGAGTAATGTAGGCAATATTTCTGTCATACATTTGTGAGTTCTTCCAAGTAGGCTGTGTTGCAAAATAGTAGTCCCGCAAAGACTCCATTTGCCATAAGCGGTCCTTGATAAAATCTGTATGAATAATAATAAACTTAATTTTATCACATAACAATTAAACAAATAATAATTAAATTTCTTTTAATCACTTATTGGGTGGTGTTTGAAACGTTACACTGAATTCCTGGTTTTCTTCTAGTTGTAGTAGCTGATGTAAGTGCAAAAGATTTCTCAGTGTAGGCGGGAAAAATTGATTCCTAATCCTTCGCATCCTATCTGCTGTTTGCAAAAAAGTGTAGTCACCAGTTCCTTCTTGATAACTGAAAGTCAAGAACAAGTAACAATATTAAACCAGAAAAATAGTTGTAATTCCCTCGCATTTCCTATTATGAGTACTATTTAGTAAACAATATTATTGGTTACTGTTTGGACAGTAATATACATCTTTGACTTACTCGACAATGGCTACCATGTACAGAAATCGAACTGAATATGGTCTAGGATTATGATTTATGATCAACACATTGATTTCCAAGCCTCTTCCTTAATTCCCTCTTCTGTATGTCGTATGTCCTCTTCGATGGTTATGAGCTTTTCTTAAGGCGAACCTATTGGCATTTGCATCTGTGTGTATCCATGCAGTAGATTGTCATCCAAACATTATTTAATTCATTATAACATAATATTTTAACAATTTATGATTAAATACTCTCCACATACTTCGCATTCCTCTGGAAGCGGTAGTGCACAGTCGACACATCTCCACTCCATCCATCGCCGCAATAGAGGTAGACGTACCTTGACAAATTTGGCACGTCTCTGAAAACTCTCCAACAGGAAATACAATTGCTTCCTGTTGGGCCTAGCAAGCTATTTAGGTTTTCCATCCATCTACCTAAAACGAACAGATGTGTGGTATTATTACACAAGTATTGTATTAATTAATATATTTACCATTTTCGCCAACTCTATAATGCATAATATTTGTTCTTGGAGCTCTAGGAAATATTACGCGGCAAATTGGACATTCCTCCAGCCGTCGGCCACACGTATCGCAGCAGCACCATCAATCGTCTTCCTCGCCTATATACAGTGCGCGACAAAAAGATAAAGGCACAACATTAAATCAAATAAAATAGAATATTGTTTGGCATCTTTATAAACTTCTTTGGCGAGCAGTCCCCAAACATTTTCAATAATATTTAGATCTGGAGATCGTGCAGGCCAATCTAATACTGGTGTAGAATTTGTTTCTAACCATAATTTTATGATTCGGGCAGTATGGATTGCCGCATTATCCTGCTGAAATATAAAATTTCTTCCTGCTATTTGCCGAAAACATGACTTTTGGGTGTTAAGGAGATCTCTATACTTCAAAGCATTTATTCTACCATCTAAAAAAACAACTTCACTTTGTCCTTTATAACCAATTGCACACCAAATCATTACAGATCCTCCTCCCATATGACGTCTTGACATTATACGTTCATCTTTTCTTAAATCGTGATAGTAATACGAAAATCCATCAGGTCCATCCAAATTAAATTTTTTTTCATCTGAATAAATTACTTTTCTCCATCTTTTTGACCAATTCATTTTGTTTCTTGAAAAGTTCAATCTTGCATTTTTATTACGTTCGTTTAATGGTGGTTTTCGTAATAGTTTTTTTCGAATGAGCGTTGGTGTGCGTTTTAATAGTCTTTGTACATTACGAATACCAGTTTTCACAGCACATTGATTGAGAATACCACGTGCAGACAAAGCAGAATTCGATGCAACACTTAAAATTGCTCTTTTCTCACGATCAGTTAATACGTGCGGTCGACCTGTAGACTTCTTGGAATTGTAATTTTGGCCATATTTTACAAAATTATTTATAACCGTGGAACTCCTTGTTAGTCTACGCGATATTTCCCGATTTCAAAGACCGCATTCCTTATATGCCGTAATTTTTCCTCGTTCTTCAGTTGATAATAGTTTTGCCCTTCCCATGGTAAATTATTTTATAATTAATAACAATACTATACAAATTATGCTAATACAGTATGTAATGTTAGGTTGTATTAAGTATAGTAGAAGTATTACATAAGGATAATTTGATCATACAATCACTAAATACGCAACGAAACTGACTGCCTTTATGTTTATGTCGCAACAAAACCTAATAAATTATCGATAAATCTTTATTTATAAGTTTATAAACAAGAAAATAAGATAAGATTGTTATTATTTGGGTTTAACCTAAAGTTTGGTAGTACATAGAATCTATAAATAATATTTGTATTAATAATAACTAGTTCCATAAGATAAATATAGAATTTGATTTGATTAAATGTTGTGCCTTTATCTTTTTGTCGCGCACTGTAAATACACAAAGGTTTATAATAGTTAATTTCTAAGCTGTAAAAATGTGATATAATTATTTTATATTTTTAAAAGAAATGTATTACATTTCTTAATGTAAGATACAGTTTACAATATTTGTACCTGGCATTTGTGGTTGTTGGAATAATGGGCGCTCTGCCATGACGATGTTTGGTACATCTGTTAATATCAAATTAATTTAAAAAACTTTTTTTAGAAACATCAAAACCTTTGTAATACCTTTATTTGCAGGTTCTGCCACTTCCACCTCTATCACTTGAATATTGTCATTATATCTACAAATAAATAAATATTTTTTGTAATGTTTTCTCAAGAAATTTCTTTAAAACATTTAATTACCTTGGTGGCCTAACACTGCACCCACGTCATTCACAATGATAACTTCTATACATTTAATAATAAAAAAGTAAGTTAATATTTTAAATAGATTCAATTTTAGCTTCAATGCGGAGCTGAGAAGGTATTGTTTTTAATTTTTGTGTCTGAACCCACGATATCTCGTAAACCGCTTAACCGATTTCTTCGTGTAGTAACTCTATAGATCAAAAATCATACCTGTAAGGTACTTTAATAGGCTAAAAATTAAAAAAGTTACCTCTTCCCCATTAAAATCGAGAAAAACACCCAAAAAATTTACAAATTTTTAAACTTAAAATTACGATGCTCTATAACTTTTTTAAAAATAGTCGAAAATGTTCCAAATTTATATGAATTGTTCTTCAAATATAGTACTATCGATTAACATTATTAATGTTTAATAATGGTTTATTAAACCAAAAAAATATCATAAACCCTTTCCCACATAGAAGGGATAGAATTGTTTTCTTTATTTCACTTTTTCAAGGAAAGTTTTAGAGATTTTGATCTGAAAATTAAACCGAAGGTAGATCTAAAATGGAACTATAACATATACAATTTTCTCAAAAATCTGTAGTAAAATTTTTTTTTTATTAAGGAAAAACCAAAAATAGGGTAAATTTACACTTTGGCCGTAGTCAGTTTCTAGGTTGCTATGTGTGTGTGAATCAACAGTCAACAGGTAATGAAAATATTTTCATTATATTGTTAATTACGATATATGGGTAACTATGGCAATACATTTTTATGGACAGACGATTAACCCTTATCGTATCCACCCTGCATAAGACTAAATATTAAATTTTAAGTACATTATTGCTGGTCCCACGATATCTTCTAAACCGCTATAACTAGTTTGAACATACTATCCACAGATTCTCATCGAAGCGTTTATTTTAAAGTGATATCACTTTCAGTTATAATTAAATCTGTAGACCTATACCGTCCCCACTATGCCCCAACCCCACTGTTCTGGCTTTGTTTATATTAGAGTTGTCAGCTGAGAGGGACCAGAGTTCAATTATTGTGTAATGTACCCACTGAACTGAATACATGGATCGCGCATTGTGAAAATAAATTGGCTACACACGGATTCCGCCATTTTGAGTACTGTCATGGATAAAACGGTGTAACATACCATTTATTCCATGATAAAAATCTGATAACATCTTATTATCTTTTATCACCGTGTAGCGGTCACGATGACGCGTGAGCGCTTACACGAACAAATGAAAAAAATAAATAATAAGAAAACGATTTATTATTATTAACAACAAAAATTTAGTTCTTTTTGTGCGCGCAGAAAGATCTCGGACGTCTGCACTTGGTGGCGTCGTTGAGAGAAGAGGAAGATGGCCGGAGGCCGGGCCCGTTGGGAAACCCAGAACAGCATAGCTCCCGTTGAAAAGTTGTTCATAATTATTAATATGTGACGGTTTTAAGACATAGTAGAACAAATATATGTTATCAGCGTCAATTCTGTTGCTTATCAGTTGTAATAATTATTACAACTACAACTTAATTTTGAAGTTATTTTTAAAATATTTAAGGAGTAAAACTTTGATATGGATGCTTTCAAGCAAGATAAGAACGAATAAAAATTAAAGAAAATTTTCAAAAAATGATCTTGTTATTTTTGTTTTGTAACTTTAGAAGAAAAAAAGTATAAGAGGGGTGAAGAGTGGCGCAATGAGCAATGTATGGGTTTAAAGGAAATTTAATCTAGTTTTTAAATATTACCATTTCTTTTGCATAAATTTGCCCATTAGTGTTTTATTCTCATTTTTCGTAAAATGAGATTAAATAGAGTCTTTAAAGTGGAGGCCCAAAAACAGGGGGGCTGTGTAATAAATTGAATGTTAAGAGTTATATAAGGCAAAAATTGTAAGTAGACTAATTTGAAAACAAGTTTTAAACATAGAAAAATTGCAAGGAACCTTAAACTCATGAATTTGACCTTACCATTCCATAAATGTGTTGAACCACACTTACCATTCCAGTTCTGTGTGTGAGCAACATGAATCTGATACCCATTTTGTTTAAAAAGTAATTGACTAAATTTCAGCCAAATTGTTTTAATTTGTATTAAAATTTTCCAAATTTGGAACAACATTTATCCGGCGGGGATGACAGTTTTTTTTTAATTCTTTCAGATTTTTTTATACGGTGGATGCTTTCTCATATTTTGCTTGTTTCACGAAAAAATTCAGTTTAAGTAAGAAATAACGTGTTCTATGAGATTTTGTTAGTTTTGGCGAACTTTTATAGTTTTTTTTAATGAACTGATTGTTGTTCGTTTTTTGTTTAATAACTTCTTTTGACGGTTATAAAGTTCTAGAAGTTTTTTAGTATTAATCGATTTTTTAATTCTTTTAGGCGTTGTAGGTGGACTTTGAAATTTAATTAGGTTAGACACGTAAGATTTAGTATTCGGAGAAGAAGTGGAAGTTGGACTGCCCCATAACTGCAGCTCATCTACATCATGAACTTTATGTGGTCTTTCATAAGTACGCGTAGGTGTTAAGACTTTAAATTCGGTAGTAGAACATGGTGAAAGAGAGTGGATATCGATTTCTTCTGAAAAAATTTGCGGACGCCTAATTAAAACGTATATGATACTACTCTACGATAAATCGGATTAGTATGTTATTTATTAATTACATATAAAATTAACTAATTACTAATTATTGACCAGTCAACATTTTCAGCAATTTATTCTTAAATTTATTAACTATTTACGTTACCTTTAAAATTTTTAAATTTGATAGAACCATTGAGTATATTAATTTATATACTCAATGATAGAATTCTTGAAGAAAATAAAAAAAGGTACATTTATATGTAAACACTAATTAGAAATAAGTTAGTTATTATACTTAATTAGTTGTAAATGCTAATTATGATTATGTTATTTTTCATTAACAGATTAACTAGTTCCTTTTTATAGTACTTCTAAATAAACTAACTTATCCTAGTAATTATCATTGAGTATATATTGTACAACATGTCAATATATACTCGATGTAATAAGTC